GGCGGGGGCGCGCGGGCCAATTCCAGGAGCCGGCGGTCGCGAGCCGCGCCCTGGCTGATACCGGAAAGGCGTGTGATTGGCCGGCCGCAGCCCCTATGCAAACGAGCTAAGGGAATGGAATTCCTCGGGCCGGGCTTACAGTAAAAGCACGTTCATTTCCAGGCACTCTCATTCATAGAGCCAGCGGGCGCGGGCGGGACGGGCGCCCCGCGGCCAGACCCAGCCAGGGCACCACGCCGCCGGGCCCGACGCCGGCAGCACCTCTTTCCGGGGCTCGCGGGAGCGCCAGAAGAATCTCTTCTTCTCCTTGACCTGCGCCGGAGCTCCGATTTTTTTCTTCTTACTTTTGAATGAGTCGGCTCCTAGGCTGTTGTTTCAACTTCTTGCCGGCTGTGAACTTTCCCCGGTTGTTTGCTCTGACAACTGCGGAAGAAAGTGCGCGCGCCTTCCAGGCGAGCTGTGAAGCTGCGTGTGCGTGGCAGGGTGCGTGGGAGTGTTTGCGGGTGTGTAACCCGAGCCGCCGCGTCCGCCCCGATCTGTGTACCGCGGAGCTAACGCGCAGGGCGGCCTCCACCTGCTGCGGTTACGCGGTGCCCGTGGGTCTTTGCGCGTTTGGGCAGGTCAGCCGCCCGCGCTGGGGCGACGTTTGAGGAAGACCGCCTCGCTGTTGCCCGAGTCGGGGCTGAGTCACCGAGCCCATGTAGACGACCGTGGCTGGCTTCCGAAGAGTGCGTGTCAGCGTGCGTGTGACTGCTGCTGAACCCCTACCAAACCACAGGAGAAGCCACAAGCCTGCCCAACATCCCCAAACCCCAGTTCTCAGATGTGGAGACGTGTACGCTGAATGGCATCGACTTGGACTTTTTTTTGTTTGTTTGTTTGTTTGTTTTAAGATTAGAGAGAGGTCTTTGAAAACCTGGATTTTCTGCACTGAGCGTTTTGCCAGAATTTATTGCGAGAACATGACAAGAACTTCTAGGCCAGCCCCGCTCCAACTACTGAAGCTGATTCTCAAGGCTGCTTAAAAAAAAATCTTCAGAGAACATTAATGGACTTCTGTTGCATTTAAATTCCTACAGATTGCCCTGTAAATATTTTATGAAGCAGAGCACATGCATATATTTGTATATGCGTGCATATACGTTAGTGGCGTGACCTTTGGAAGTCGCAGCCCTTGCTTTTGAGGACCGAAGCCGGTTTTGCGCGATAAAAGGGGCGCTGTTTGTGGAAGACACTCGTGTGTTTTGTGTTGTGTTGGGACTTTAGAAAGAAAGAAAAAAATCACCTGGGAAAAACTGACAGGCGATTAACTTACTGGAGCCTCCAGATTATGTCTTTGCTGCCCTTTTGCTCTCCGCATAAATATTTAGGAAGTGTATGGGAACTTTGCCTCCGGGAGCTTTTGTAACAGCCAAAGACTGAACGTAGACTCTCAAAGCGAGACGCAGACGGAGATCATCTCCCCTGGCGTTTGACTTTGGATTCTGGTCGCCCACTTTTTAACGCACTAAGCGGTCGACTGTTAGGAGTCGGGCCTGGGTCTGAAGCCGAGCGGCGTCGTTAGAACTTTCCTCGTCCGGGACTGTTAGCTTCCCCCGCCCCCGCCCCAGCCCCCTGCGGCAATAAAGGCCCTTGAACTTGCATGCTGGTCTCTCGGGAGCTGCCGGCCGAGGATCCGCGCCCCTGTCGCCACTTAGTAGGAGCTGTTTGCAGGGTCCTAACTCAATCGGCTTGTTGTGATGCGTATCCCCGTAGATGCCAGCACGAGCCGCCGCTTCACGCCGCCTTCCACCGCGCTGAGCCCGGGCAAGATGAGCGAGGCGCTGCCGCTGGGCGCCCCGGACGCCGGCGCCGCCCTGGCCGGCAAGCTGAGGAGCGGCGACCGCAGCATGGTGGAGGTGCTGGCCGACCACCCGGGCGAGCTGGTGCGCACCGACAGCCCCAACTTCCTCTGCTCCGTACTGCCGACGCACTGGCGCTGCAACAAGACCCTGCCCATCGCCTTCAAGGTACTCGGCTGGAGGGCATGGCTGGCGGGCGGGACGACAGGCGGAGGCCGGGGGAGGCCAGGGGGCGAGCGCCCAGGGTGGCGGCCCGGCGGGCGGGGCTGGGGTCTAGAACCCGGCCGGCGTTGCCCCCCACGGCCCCTGGTCCAGCCCGGCGCGCTCGGGACGCTGGGGATGCTGCGTTGCCGTGGCGACCCTCGGGAGACCCGCCTCGGCGCGCTCGGGCTGCCTCCCGAGAGGGCTGGAAAAAAATCAGGATGCTCCCAAGAACGTCAGGGAAGGCCCCTAGGGAACTCCCTGGCAGGGGTCCCGATCTCAGATACAAAGTAGGAAAGTTGTGACCGAGCGGGAGCAAGGCCGCCTGCTTCCACGCTGCTCCCCCACCTCTGGGTTGACACCCAAACCATATTGTCTCCCTCAGATGAAGACACCAGGAAATAAAACAGAGGCCCTGTTATACCTTCGGGTCAGTGAAAATAAACTGACGGGGAACACAGTCTGGTTTCCGCCCCCCACACCCTCTTTCTCTATCCGCCCTGTAGGAATTAGCATGTCCAAAGTCCACAGCAGGCGTAGTTCAGTTTGCAAAAGTTTTCTGAAGAGTTTTGCGAGCTTCTAGCCTTTCCCTACAGAAGCCTCAAGTAGCGAATCCCGTTTCTTTTCCTGGAACCTTCCTGAACCTTATCGCCGACTCACCTAGATTAAACCCCGGGCGGAAAGGTGACAAAGGCTGTCTTCTGGAGCCGGGCGGTCGAATCTGCGGGCGTTTCTGTTTGAGGAGGGGGCGGCTGAGACCAGGCAGCTCCAGCCGAACAGCTCCTGGTCTCCGTTCACTTTTCCCTCCTAATATTTCCCCAGCTTTGAACTGCTTTTGAAAACCTTGGCCTTCAACCGGGATGTGTAAACAACCCCGAGCGGCTTTAAGCAACCACCCCACCACCGTGGTAGCAAGCAATAGAAATTTTATTTCTGCTGTAGGACCTCTGTGGTTCTGCCTTGGGTGGGTTTAAGAAGGTGCAGCTTGTTAGAACAATCAGAGCAATCATTTCCTGTTTATTTAAAGGGCTAAAAAACAAGGCAGGTGACTCCAGCTGTAAAGATTGGCTACTTTTTTAATCTGGCAAAATAATTGCCCCCTTTAAGAGGCGATTAATTTAGTGTAAGGTTTTTTTTATTTCTAGGCCTCTGCTGGATCTTGATCTAATTACAATGAACAATATTCATTTTAAAAAGTACTGTCAGGGTTCATTATTTTTTAAGCTTTGTGCAGCTTCCAAACTTAGACTGGGATTTCTAAAACAAAACAAAATCTGTAATTGGCTGTATCTCTAGAATTACCCCCTTTTTCACTCAGTGTTTGAAAGCAGTTTTTGGGAGAGTGGAAATAAGGAAAGGAGGTGCAGTGGGGAGTCAGCTACTGGATTCTTTCCCTTTCCTTCCTCCATTTATCTAAATTTGGGGTTGGGAGCCCATTTCCATTTTAAGTCACCCTCATTGAGAGGGGACCCTTGGGGTTGGGCCCTGGGCTCACTCCCAGACAAGAGCAGAGGGAAAAAGACAAGCAGATCATCCACCCAAAGGGCCATTTAAATCTGGTGCCCCCAAGGGAGTGGATTCTAAGGAGTCTGCGGCTTGATTTGGGGGAAATCAGGGTCTCTTCTGGATTCTCCCGCCTCTGCTAGGGAACATATACCCAAATAGATCAAAACACTAAATGATTAATAAGGAATCTTCAGGAGATGAAGCTTTGTCCTTTCTCAAGCCACCCCGTGAAAGTAAACGTATTTTCTTATAAAAGAAGGAAAATTCATATAAATGGCTTTTATGAGCCATCAGGGAATTCCTTTTAGCAGAAATCCTAATAACTGTCGAGGTTTCCTTTTGAAAATGACTGACTTTTGTTAATCTTAATTTGTTTTAGTGAGTCAGAGTCTATAGGCTGCTAAAAAATCAAGATGTCTTGAAAAAAGGTTGAAGTGGGCCTCAAGAACGTTAGGGGGGAAGGGAAGGACAGCAGAGAAATCAGGCCACTTGATTAGTATCTGTCAGCGCTTCCTGGTAGCGTGAGGCCTCTTCCTGAAGACCTGCTCCTTGCATAAGGGAAAGAGACACATTTTCCAGCGAGTGAGTAAACGCCAAAGTTAGGACAAAAGCAAGAGAGACTTCAGAACGTGACTGCGTTCCAACTGATGTAACGAGTGTCCCTGAGTCCACTCTGCACTCCACGTACGCACCCCACTCCCAGCCCCAACAGCTTCCACAGAAATTATTACTTTAACATTTGGATTTTAGATAAGCCTCAGACAGTTTCTCTAAGACATTCATCAGTAAAAAATTTATTATATTCCTTATCATAAGGAGAGAAAATGGCAAGCTGATAAAATCCGATGACGATGATGAATGGAGCATTCAAGTGCTTCTTTAGGAATCTTCCGAAATTCTACGTGTGAATCCTCTGCTTTAATCTTGGGGAATAAAGGGAGATTTAAAATTATGAAATTTCCTTAAAATAGATTAAAATCATCCTAATTGCTTATCCTGGACCCCAGCCTGCCCCCCTTCTCCCATGGAACACTTTTATTTTAGCGTTGGAAAGATACATATTTTATTACTGAGAAAATCTGAAATTTGCTACACGTTAGCCAGTATTTACGGAAGTAGCCTAAAAAAGCTGGTTGGATGACTTGAGGTATATTTTGGAATAGTATACTGTTGGAGTTTGTGTAGGCCCTGGTAGGTCAGACCCTGGATGCTTGTAGAAAGATATCAGAGACGTTTCTGTCCGCAAGATCACGGTCCCCAGCTGTACATTAAATATCATCTCGGCTGAGCTCTCAGCTCCACTCCACAGCTTTCTTTGAAACATTGGAACGTTAAGACATCTGAATGAAGTGAATTGTTAACTGTAGTTTCAACCCAGTGAGAGCTGATTTCAAATGCCAGCTTGAACTGTGAACAGCTGGTGCCTACAGAAGGGCTGATACTTTGCCCAACTTCCTGATTCTTTAAGAACAGAGAAGTAAAACAAAATATGAGATATCATCGGCCAGCAAGTCCCATCTTGTCTATTTGGTCTCTGTTAAAATGTAAATGTTTGTGTTTCCTGCCTATTGTTTATAGCTTTCCATCCCCGTTGTTCCTTTTTGCTGTTTGAAGTAGATATTTTTTCATTCTCTTCATACTGCCTATCAGTGACAAAATCTCTATCAAATTAGCAGAAATGTTAGTTTCAAATATTTTTACCTAGCCTAAAGTATGCTTGTTAGTAATTGGTTGGTGTGCATTATTACTGAAATTTCCCTGGATTTATATTGTCCCTGTCCCACCCCCACCCCCAAAATTCCCTAAGAAATCAATAAAAGACCAAGTAAATGATCTTTGAGCACCCAAATAACTTTGATTCCTGCCTCATTTTAAAAAAGGGGGGGGGGGGTAGTTAAACTCCTTTTTTTTCTGAGTCTTGATTCCAGCGTCAACAACCTTTTCTATTGTAGCTGCCATAATTGTTTTATTCTCGATTTGTTTCTGCTTGGTGAAGGTCTCATAAATTTGCCAAATTACTAATGAGGATAGCATTGGGAAGACGGGAGAGGCACAGACGTGCAGCTCTGGGAAAGGAAGCCCAGTAAGAGGAAGGTGATTTCATTATAAAACAAGATTTATTTATTTTAACCTCTTTACAGATTCAGCCCCAACAATGAGTTATTCAGTTTGAAAAGCATGTTGTTGATCCAGCTCCTGTATTACTCACTGAATGTTGAATTAAAATAGAGAAGCTTGGGTCGCCACAGGGAGATGGGGAACGAGGAAGTAAAAATATATGTTCAGTGAGGGCATTTCAACACTGTGAGCTAATTTTACAGAGGGAAGTGAAAATCGTGAAAAACGGGAACATTTTCAAGAGACTCAAAAGAGCAAAATAAAGCGAGGACATTTTGTTGGAATAGGAAAAATGGCAGCAATAAGCCAATATGTAACTGATCAGGGAGATTCATTTCAATGTTTTTTTTTTTTTTTGGAAACAAAAGTGAGTTGTCATATTACTGCTCTTAATTAAAAGGCAAAAAACAAAAACAAAAACAAAAAACACCTATTATGGGAACTAAATGCTTAATTAAAGGATGCCTAGGGAATAAATAGCAGTGTTTTAAAATACCCTTTCTAGAAAACAGTTGGATGGAATGACAGAAAAGGAAATATTAAAGCCGCAGACTTGTTGGACACTGCAAGTTGGATAACATATATGAGGAAAATGCCCACCAGCTGCCATGGACTCCTCCGGAAGTAGTGTTGGGTTAGAAGCTGCTTATCCCCCATCCTGAGTTGGTTTATTTTCTCTGTCATACTCCTTAACACCCAAGAGCTGAGCCAGTTGTGATGAATAAAAAGGATAGACAGTCACCTGGAGGACATAGGAGAGGGGTAATGACTAAGCAGACGCTGCAGATGGGAATTTTGAGGAACTTGACTTTGATAACATGCAGGTGGCCTATGGGAGCTTTATTTACATTCGGAAAAAAAGGACTGAAAATGTAGGTAATTACAAAACTGATGTAGCAATTATTAGGTAAAATTGGGAGCTTGAAATAGGGGAAGGATAATCACGGTAGATTTAAAGACTTATTACCATCTCCCCTTCCAAAACAACAACAAAAAAGATTATATACTCAGAATGAATAGCACAAATTTCACTTCTGAGAAGGCGTCATGAAGAATATCGGAAATTATAGGAATAAATACAACTTGGAACATTTTGATTTGAAATCCTATGACCACTTTGAAAAGCAGAAACAATGGAAATATAGCCAATAATAAGTATCTAGGCCAAGAAAATAGTTTCTAGAGGATCAAATGATGTCCAAGAAATAGATGCCACTGCATGAAGCATCTTCATCCCGTGCTCTTACGATCCGTTTATCTTGAAATTACTGTTGTTGTTTTTTGATTACTTGCATATCAAAAATATTTATCTAACTAGTTGTCTTCAATAACCCTGATAAGAAATCAATACCTATTCAATTATATTGAAGGAATTCTTCAAGATTGGCTGGGTTTGGAGAAAACTTCAGTCATCTATCAGGACATATTAACACATCTAGGGGACTCACAGATATAAAAACATAACCCAAATCCACCCTGAATTGAGGGGAGTGTCTAAAGGCAGGAGTCCCTGTTCGCTGAGATTTGTCGATTTAATAATCAGTAATAAAGAATACAGTTCTGATTTCTTTTCCCCTTGCATGCCAGTGAAACCCAGGATAGTCGAAATGGGTAGGGGCATCAAACAGGAGCTGCAGAGGGACACCTGAAGTCAGCCAAGAATCATCAATTCAGTTGCTGAAGATCAAATTTAATTTTAGAGAAGCTTGAAAACCTGAAAGTTAAAGACCAGGCCCTGTGAGGCCCATCAGTGGAGGTCTGGGAAAGTGGACAAGGGGTTAGTTTATAAATTTAAAACAGCGTTCTGCTTCTTAAATATGAGGAACTAAGGAGAGATGGTTGTGCTGTTGAGAGGGTAGAGCTTTTCAAAGCCGTTGTTAGAGTTCGCCTTGTCACAACTGCGCAGTATGGCCTTACGCAGCTTTATTAGGTGAATGCGGGTAAATATTTCATTATTTGAAAATTTATATTTAGTTGTGCATAATGGAATGGAAAGCAAATCTTCCCAGTAATAACTTCTCTGTTGTTTTGCTTAAGTTATGATTGCTATTCTTTGCAAACTAAAAAGTATCATCTAATACAGGCTTCATTCTATAACCATTACTGCACACGTGACGTGTCTGCATTTGTCCCTTGACTGGTATTTAGGTGGTGGCTCTGGGGGACGTCCCAGATGGCACTCTGGTCACTGTGATGGCTGGCAATGATGAAAACTACTCGGCTGAGCTGAGAAATGCCACCGCAGCCATGAAGAACCAAGTCGCAAGATTCAACGACCTCAGGTTTGTCGGGCGCAGCGGAAGAGGTATGTACCCGTCAGAGCTGAACTCGTAACACAGAGCTTTCCATGGCGGCCACCCCGGGTTCAAACTCCTAGCACTGTCTCTGACGGAATCCCGAGAAGCGCCGTCCTTCGTGTGGTTGTCTCTGTGAAGTCAAGATTTTAAAAGTAATTATTTAGTACTTGATATTTTTAACAGAATCTAGCTTTATATTATTGCTTTTTATTACTGAATTGGTTTAAGACCGACTTGGGATGTGTAAAGTCTGAATTTGTCTGTGACAAGTGACAGAATTTCAAATGATCGTTCATAATACTTTTAAGGGGTATGTAACGTATGGTATGGACACATGGTTTTGTTTCTGGCAAGCGTATCTTTTTATGGTAAAATATGAAGAAATTGTGCTAATACCATTCTGATTTGGTCAATTTGATGGCACTGTGACCTTCCTGTTATAGTTCTTCTGAAACACCTTATTATTATTTGGAGGGAAGGCGTTGGGCCCAGTTACCATTTTAGGGTACTAAGAATACTGAAGCCCGGCTTCCCCAAAGGAACTGTTGTATCAGCTTTCCCTCTGAGCGGGTCTGTGTTTCTTTGTCATTAGCCCACTTTCAGAGCGTCAGAGCAGAAGGAGGAATCTTGGCTCCCTGTGGTCTCCTCTGCTTCCCACTTTTTTTCCAGCTTTGTGTTTTCTCTGTATTGTGAGAACCTTCATCATAGTTTCTAAACAGCGACAAGTGTTACAAGTCTAATGGAAGGATGTAGGATAGTTTATTATAAAAGTCTCATTTTTGTAATAGAGCGTTAAGTAAGCTTGGAAATAAAATTTATTTCAAGCCTAACAAAAGAACTTACAATAAGTACCGAAATGACAGTAGATTGTTCTCATATTGAAAAAATAGAAGTTTAACCAGGGGACATCACTAACCACCCCCTCCGCAGAGACATTCAGAAACAGAGGAAAACCTGCGTTCTCAGGGCATCTGATCAGCCCAAGAGGGGAAAGGGTGGGTATGTTTTGAACTTTTGGCCCTTGTTGTTGCTATCCTAGCTCTCTGGAGCCTTTTCAAGATAGAATAGCTGGAGAAAATAAAACCAACGTGATTCAAAATATATGTTCGTAGCACCAACTATGTAAATGATGGGGCAATGCAGAGAAAATTCTGCCCACTTAGGGACAGAAAGTTCTGCCCACAGTATGAGTGCTGCTCGAATGCATACAGACACAGGTCACTGAATGGGTTCCCTCGTTATATTAAAAGTCCCCGCCTTTCAGTAAATGGAATTTGCATTATGACTCAGAGGTGTGTGTTTAGAAAACATCTTCAGGCTTCAGAGGAGAAGCTGGCAGAGTGGGCAAGAAGCTAATAGAAAACAAAGGCCCCCCAGCCAGCTCTGCCCACCAGCCTAGCGAATTGTCTTAATTCAATTCTTGTGGGTTTCTACTACTATGACTCGAGAGCTGAGTCTCATTTGGCTGTTTCTCCAGAGAAAATATTGTTATCATAAGAAGCATCTGTGTGGGTCTCTGTGTCGCGTTTGGGTTATAAAAGTTCTGGAAACTATTTAATGGCCCATGCCGGTGACATTTTCCCCTAAAAAGTCAGTGGTGGCTTTCTGGCAGTGCGCGGTAAGCCGGTGAGGACAAGGGATGAGGTTTTGAAAGCTGCGTGCTTCCTTGCCTGGCTCTGAGGCGGCTCAGCGCCCCTTGTTGGCCACTGCTGTTTTGAGTGGGTGACTAATAGCGCTGGTGTTTACTTGGGTAACAGGGAGCTGTTTCCCCAAGGTGTGGATTGTTTGCGTTGGGCTGCCCGGTTGCTGCCAGCATGTCCTTAAGGCTGGGTTATCTTCTGATACCCTGGAACAAGAAAAAAAAAATTAATTGAAATGCCACAAATGGACAATATCTGTTTTAAACAGGCTCTGTTTCCCACGAGTGATAATAACCAATCAGAAAGACAGAAACTCTAATAGAACACTTGACCCAGTTATGGTCCGGAGTCTCCTGGTTCCTGCTGCCAGACAGAACCAGCTGTCACGCGGGCCCGATGTGATGGTGGCTCGTAATTTCTCTCCCTAGTCATAAAACACAGCTTGATTTTGCTCTTTCGGTCGTAAGTGTCAACATCAAAGCCTGCCAGATTTTTTTTTTTTTTTTTGCCATTTTCTTCCATTACTAAGAGAGTAGATGAATCTCGCTAATTTTGACAATAAGTCTTAATCTTCCTCACCGATTCTTATTCCTTTAAAAGTTCATTATGTTTTATTCAGGGATCTTCAAACTGTCTACTTCTTCATTTTCCGTCTTTAAAATGTGCCCGAGAACACTACCTTAGCCCTGGCGCACCACACGGTGGGTGAGGGCTGCGACAACTTCACCTTCTCGCAGAGGCCGCTGGTCTTCGTGGATGCTCAGAGGGCCTGGTAGTCTGTTCAGAATGAAGGCAGGAAAAAAAAATAAAACACACACCCATTCTGTCGAGTCGATTCCAACTCATGGCGGCCCCACGTGTACAGGATAGAAGTGCACTCCATGGAGTTTTCAAGGTGTGACCTTCCAGAAGCAGATTGCTGGGCCTTTCTTCTGAGGCTCCTCTTGGTGGTTTAGAACCATCAACCTTTCTGTTAGCAGTCGAGCGCTTAACCTCTGCACCACCCAGGATCTCCAGAGTAGGAGGACAAGCTTCCTTTTCTTTACCAGCTGCCCATCCCTGGGGAGGGTAGAACCCCACAGACATTGCCAGCGGTCCAGCAGGGAAGGGTTTTCTCTGTTCTACAAAACAGATCTGTCTGGGCCCTGGCTGCCATCCAAGATCATAGCTCCTAACCTCGAGTTCAGCCTGTGACTGGGAGAGCCTGCCCTTCCGGCTGACTCCCCGGGCCGGCCACGCTGACTCCCCGGGCCCTAAAAATGTTGGTGGCAGCCCACAGCCTGAACCTTCTTCCTCTTTTTCCCTCCCCTCTCTTCTTCCCCCATCAGATGAAACCTTCTTCAGGGGATTTCTTATCCTTGGAATTCTCTGCCTTTGACTGAGTATCTCCATGTAAATTGGTCATTCCTTTATAGTGGGAGAAGAGAGAGCGGCTGGAGGAGATGGGAGAGAGAGTGCGACCAGGGAGGGAGAGCTGAATTCCCGGGGTCCTGATGAGCACACAGGTTGTCGTCCAGAACAATTCACATTTAACCCAATGTTCTGGGACCATCTGCCACCGCCAGAAAATCGAAGTTTGTTGTAATAAGATTTTGTCTAAAAGAATTCTCTTTGTTGAGGTTAATTAGAAGCAAGTTACATCAGTGCCATTGCATTTGACACAGATGCTACCAGTATTTTCAGTTACAAGAAAGTGTATCATGGCTTCAGCTAGAGAGAGTTGAGACATTTTAGCAACAAAATCTGTGAGCATTTCCGTCCCTGTTGGAGAATTTAATCAGTTGGAAAAGAACCTATCAATCAGCAAATACAGCTTTAGTTAATTTATTTTAGGACCAAGGAGGAAGTCTACCAGACCGTATCATTAAGCATATTGTAAGTGAGAGAAGAAAATCCACTGCAAATCTTATTCTAATTTTTCTAAGAATGCGATTTTTAATCTTTAGGGAATGCCATAGATAATTCTGAAAATCTAATGGACGCCTTCTCCCAAGGAAAAAGCACCCACACATGTGTACAAAATTGTGTGTCAATTTCAACCTCCAGGGCTGCTGCAGCTCATTTGCAGACCTTTCAGGGATCCCTGGACCCTAGGCTGTGAATTTGAGCTTTGCCTTGGCCACGGAGGGCCGGTCTAGCACTGTGCTGCCCGGAGGAGACGCTTGAAAAATGAATAAATAAATGAGCAAACAAGGCAAATGCTCCTCTTGCGCCCCGTGCTGTTTGGGTGACACCTGTTTTTATTGTGGACCCCATGGGTGGTGCAGAGGATTAACACGCTTGGCTACTAACCAAAAGCTTGGAAATTCAGGTCCACCCAGAGGTGCCTCAGAAGAAAGGCCCGGTGATCTGCTTTCAAAAAATCAGCCACTGAGAACCCGATGGAGCCCGCCTGTACTCTGACGCACACGGGGTTGCCGTGAATTGAAGTTGACTTGATGGCAGCTGGGTTTTTTTGTTTGGTTGGTTGGTTTTTATTACAGCAGGACCTGGCTTGTGTAACTGGAAAGTAGATCTCATTCAAAGCTCTAGTCCAGCCTTTGGACGGCCATCAGGTGTCCAAGCAGGTCATCACTGGCGAGCGGGGGATGCGTTTTGTAACCAAAAGGACCATCTCTTCTCCAGGGCGTTGGCTGGCCCCAGCTGCAGAGCCGAAATGTGAACTCTACCGGCAACCTTGTGAGGCCATGTGTTCTAATACAGCCTGTTCGCATGCGGTTTAACTTCTTGGTGGAATTGTGTTCGTGCTGACCTCCCAGGCAACTGTAACCTTGCCTTTCAGAACAGCGCCCTTCCCAGTGCTTTTGTGAAATGAAATTCCTTCATTATGTCTTGCCTTCACAGACATAATATTTATCCTGCCCCAATGTGGATTATTGCACGTTTGTGTCCTGTTTGTTACTGAAGGCACGTTCATTCGTGAGTGAGTTTACATGATTTGGGAAATAGTGCAAGGTGGCTGTCTTTCAGGTGAGTGGAAGGCTGTGGCTGAGATGAGGAGAAGGTGCATTTAGGAAAGGGTCGACTGTACTCATATTCCAAAAGAAAGAAGACATGTCTTTATGTCGAGGTTACTACTGAGAAATGATCTGAGTGACTCACAGTATTATCACAGGATCCAAGTCATTCTCTATTTGATCACAGATTCATAAACTGGGGGAAGGAAAAATTCATCTGACATTCCCAGAGTTGTTTATGGATAACATTCAAGATATAAGCTGGCTCAGTGGTGAAGTCATTTCCGAGGTTCACCGTTCAGCTGGGGAGTGGACAGCCCCATAAAACCAAATGGGACTAGTGAGGCACAGCAGTCCAGGGACAAGGGCCAGAAGGCAGGAGGGGACAGGGAAGCTGGTGATAGGGAACCC